AAAAAAAAAAAAAAAAAAAAAAAAAAAAAAAAAAAAAAAAAAAAAAAAAAAAAAGATATCGTGAGCTCAAGATTACGCACAGAACAAGCCACAAAACCAGCTAATCCCATTACAAACAGTAACAGAGTTTTGCAGCAGCTCATCTCTGTGATAGCAAACATAAGAACAGAGGAGAGCTGCTGCAACTAAAAGAAGAACAACAATTAACGAAAAGGGAAGCTTTCATTAATATATTAAAAGCAATTACAAAGCTACAAGAGGAAAGAACATCCTCTTCTTAAAGGGAAAAAAAGAACTAGAAAATACAATCTCAATCTCAGATAATCAATAATCAGACTAGATGACCAACAAAAGGCAAACGGTTTAGTCTTTCCAGAAGTAGAACACAATTATTTGAAGTTTTCTTCAATTTCTTTCAATCTACAACTCCTAAAAACGAGGAGGACGTCGTTAAGTAATATATAGATACAACTGTAGCAGGACCATGAAAACAACCATCTACAGATCTTACCTACAGATACAATAGGGATTACTTCTTAGTATATTTAGCATACATAAAGAAACCAAGACAAAAATGACTCCTGTAAAACAAGGAGTGTTCAAGTATTCAGTTTATTGTAACCCTCTTATTTGGACTTCAAGCTCTGTGTATCGTAAAGGATACCTTTGAACTCTGCAGAATAATCAAACACATAATATGAAATTTACAATTGGTCTATCCCAGTTCATTGTGAAACAAAAGATGCAGGACCAAAAGGAAGACAGATGGAGTAACGCCGTTTCTATAAGAAAAGCTGCATGGATCCTACCTCGACCGCGACTTCTATTGCCAGCAACCTTTTACCATATGTCATTCCCGGTCATGACTGCATAACTTTATTCTGTTCGACAGAAAGGGGAGCTTTGAACTCCTGACATTTCCATAAAGATGTAGAATCTATTGGCAGCACGCCTTGGGTAGGGCTAGGGCTATCTACAGAATGCAAAATAACATTTTCGGGTGTGGGAGACCCCGTGTTTTGCACAGCCAATATTGGGGAACTTCCATTGTCCATGTCTTCCTTGAGAGCTTTTTGATCCCTGAAAGAACAAATACTCAATGACAATTTTTTAAGCTTCACTCTTCCCTTCTTTTTACCAGTGACATTAATATCATCGCACGTTTTTTTCTCCTTCTGACTTGTCTCTGCTTCTCCAGTATCCATCTGAGACTGATTGTTCTTCTCATATTTAATAGTCTTCTCATCAGATTTGAGCTTGTATACTTCCTGAAAGCTACATTCAGAGTCGGCCTCGTTAGTTTTAGCATGCCCGTTGCATGTAGGAGTAGGTTCCAACTCCTGTGAGATGCCACAATTGGAAACCATAATTTTCTCAGAACCAGGTGAAGTTTTCAACTTCTTATGTTTGTGGCCTCTAGCATCAGAACCAGATGAATTCTTCAAAATTCTTGGGGAGCTATTAATTGCCCGATGTAATTTGCGGGCCATCTCTTCATCTGTCCTGGTATTCTCAAGAGGTTGATATTTTGTATACAGAAACTGAACTGGGACATGTTTCTTCAGCTTGTTCTTTCTCTGTTTTATTTCTTTATAGGCTGCTTCTTCAGAAATCGAGGCAACCAAGTCCATGGCACTCTTTGCAGCTGCAACAGCCTTTGCTGCAATCGCAGCCTTCTCTTCAGCTGCTGTCCTGGCAGCCTCTGCAGCCTTCACAGCTGCAGCTGCCGCTGATCTTGAGGCCTCCACTATCTCCTCGGGCGATAGGTTAGTATTTGAATGAGCACTCAACAGATTGTTGAGCCGTATATTGAATTCAATAGATGTGAAGCCATAGGAAGGAGAGGGAGGGGGAGAACAAGAGGTGGAGGCAACTGGTGGCACATTAAAAGTACCATCACCATCGGCCCCTTTCTTTCTCAATCCAGCAAGAAGACGCTTTCTTGGAGGTAAAAGGACATCGGAATCGAGGTGATTGACGTCACAGATGTTAGCCTCCATTCTTCCCCTTCCAAATTCTAGCTTTAAACATAAATCGCTAATGTTTCTCCACGAGGACAAGAAACTGAGTTGACATTTACTTTCGCTGAAAATAATTACGAGAACAGTAAATTAGCTTCTAATTCTACCACAAATTCCACTCTGCACATTCCATCAGATTCTTACATCAATTAGAAAACTCGGAAGCCATAAAATAACATCCCAATCAAACATTTCTTCAGTAATCAAGAGTACAAATTTAAATTGGAAGCTGCCACTATCTGCTATATGATGAAGATCTCACATAATGGATTGCCAATCTCCCAAGGTTTTAAGGGCATAATCAGCGCATGAATACAAACTGCATTTCATCCATGGACACAGTACTCACCTTTCCGGAATCAGAAAACGATATCAACATCCAATTCCCAAACAGAATTAAGATAAAGCAATCTGAACACAACGAAAATACACAAACATGCAGAAAATAAAACAAAAATTGAAACAAGAAACGCAGCCAATACAAAAGGGGTCGAATTCCGCAAGAAACACAACGACATAGAGAGAATTCAAGAACATCAAAATGGTGTCAGCAATTGAAAGAGGTGGATTGAAGGGAAGGGAAACAAAACAAAAAAAAAAAAAAAAAAAAAAAAAAAAAAAAAAAAAATTT